TTTTGACGATAACATATATTTTAGTGCATATTTATAAAACCACGATTTCGGACGCATACCTGAGGGTAATTTCTAACCGTGGAGTACTAATCCGATCTATGAGACAATGTGATGTTACTTTCTTTATGATGTGTTTGAAACGGCTTCCGCACAGAGAGCGATGGTACGAAGGTTACAACAATATACAACGAGCCGAGAGACATCGCATTGGAACACTCTGTAATGAATAGCAACACAATACACAATGCACTAGCCGTGACTTCACATTGTGTTCAGAGATCAGCCTATGGCCCCACTGAGTGCGTATGGTCCGTTTATTCGGTTTTCTTGAGCACGACAGCATTCTCCTCCTGCGCAGAGTCAGCGCACACGTCGTCTTTCTCGTTCTCTTGCCAATGGATAGTCACAGTCTTCTCCATGGGCTGCGGCAGCAGATACAGGTCCTTGTCGCGCATCCAGGCGACCACCTTGCCTTCAGGGCTTACGCGTGCTAGTTTGTAGGGCAGTTCTTCACCAGACTGTTGAAGTGACAGAGGTATTAGCAGTGCAGCGTATCACAATTGTCACTCGTTCTCTGAACTCCGATGTGGAACTTTTACGTTCGATAGGGATAACGATATCTATGTCGCTAGGAGGGATAAAAGCAAATCAGAAAGCACCTAAACATGACATCAACACAAGCAAAGCGACACCAGTTCTGCGCAAATGCACGCGTGGTATTTGAATGATTGTGCTGTTATTCCTACTTTGGGTCGTACGATGAAGGTGAACAGTCCTGGGGTGTCGGGGTCTCTAGTGAACTTGGGTGCTTGCATGGGGTTCCAGTTGCCTAGTTCTTCCTTCTCGCCCACCAGCACAACGTCGTCGTCATTGGCTGAATCGCAGATCACATTGAGACTGATCTTACGGGAGGGTCTGCGGAGATCAGCGTATTTCAACATAAAAAAATATATGAGCAAATAAGGCGAGGCACGGAGGAATATAGATTGACTAAGGAAAGGGATCCCCACTTGAACTTATCTAAATATGGGACTGTAAATGCAAACTAGGATCAATAAGAGACCGCGCACTAGTTGCACCGGTTGAAGAAGGCGAGATGGCGACAACAGCACGGGCGCAGGATAACGCAGAGTGAGTGAACTAGCGAGTTCAATAGTGAATCGTTGAAGGGTTTGAGGATTAACTAAACCCTAAAAGGGGTATAAGAATAGAAACCCTAAAATGATGGGCATTATATACCATTCATACGAGCAGGGGACAATGGTCTTTTGCCCTAGATATAAACAGATGAGTCCAGATGCCCGATAAAAATAATGACAAGGCGAGAGAAATCAAACCGAGTGCAATAAGTGAACGCACACAACGCGCGACAAAGTATGATTTGCAGACGCAAAATGAGGTTGTGACTGAATTGCACATAATATCGTGAATAGACAAACCCAACCACAGCCCAACACTGACAGTCAGTCTGGTAGACAGGACAAGGACAAGGCCATCACAGCTCGAATGATTATCGAGCTGTTGTCCAAAGTAGTAGGTAGTATCAGTGGATCAAGCTTTAAAACATTACTGTGGGGTTTAGGGTTTCAGAGTTAATTGCGTATATGCACTTGTACCACATATATTGGTGGGCACTAGCTCACTCTTACGTCACACAAAATACTCTGAAAAGAAATACAATACCAAATATCCTGCACAACACAACACCCCCATCTCATCACAAACCAGTCCTGTCTTACAGAGGGGTGCGTGTGCACGCACACACTCTTCCCATACCCTCGCCACGGCAGGTCCCTGGTGATGTTGTGGCCCAGGCAGTTGAGAAGGATGGTGAGTATGTCGCGCGTTTCTCTGGGGCTGGTGATCCATGCGGTCGTGCATGCGCTGCGTGCCATGAAGTCGTTGCCTGTACTGAGGAATTGGTCGCCCACGTGCAGCGTGGTCGAGGCGCATGCGCCAGTCACGCGCTGCATGACTTTGACGCCCAGGCTTTTGTTACCAATGTCCACCCACGCTGTACAGACAGAGAGTGTGCATGGGCCAAAGAGAGAGAGAGATGCATGGGATGGCTGTGGTGAGTCGTGGATGCTCACTCAAAAGGAATGACACACCGGTGCTTGCAGTATATAATACCACTTGCTGTTCAGAGTTGGAGGACTTTCGAATTTCACGATCAGACTAGCTTGATACTGTTCATTGATTGCAGACTATCGCTTCGGCATACTACTGACTTGCCCGAGAACAGATCGATCACAGACAATAAACTGTAGAGGGCTACCACAGTGCAAAAGAACACAAGCGGGACATACCATCGGATCCTCCGTTGAACGCGCAATACGGAATCGAAACCTGCAATGGATTGAACAATGAATGATCTCATTAGAACGATAGTCATTAGTGCCAGAGCTCTGGCGATGGACTGGCAGGGAGTGTCTGGTACGCCATTGAGTGTCTATGGGTGAAGGTCAGCGGTGCGAGTGCAACATACAGATTGTGCTAATTTAAAGTAACGGTAAAACCTAATGTATGTGCAACTGTGCAGAACATCAGTGCACAGACATACAAACAACACAGACGACACACACTTTGATATTTGAAGATAGATACACTTTAATAATAACACCTAAAACTATGACATGCAAACTTGAACATCTAATGGAACATACACATTTACAACACCGGAGAAGCACTATATCTGAACACTGTGAGCACTTGATAATACATCTGTAACACAACACACACACACACACGGCCTCTCAACAAGAGAATACTAAATACAGCACTTCACTGCACATTGACATTACAATCCCAATGCAACACACACGAGGACATTGGACAATTGACCTCAGCTAAACTCAGCCTATTCACTGGTCCTTGACTTACATTTGTTTTCGCCAGCTCTGCTTTGCACCGCAGCACGGCTTCATCTAAATTCTCTCTCGAAATATAAGCCTACACGTGTCAAAGGATTAAAATGAGATGATGGATATAAGAGATGCTACAGAAGCAAAGAATACTGCAAGTTTATGTCGCTGGCATCGAGATAACTACGGGTATAGAAACAGCTCCAAACATGTGTAGAAAGGGGTCAACGAGATGGTAAGTGAACATGCAGTAAAGACATAATACATTGAAATGTTTCAGTACACGACAAACATTAAGTAAACGTTGTCGAATGATGCATGTACCCCCCATATATCACCTGAAAGATCAGTATGCGATAAAAAACCTTAACTCCACCATACACAGCTATATTAGTTTGGTTGATCTTTTTTGGATCATTAGGTTTTTAGCGAACTGATATATGTGCACCCTGCAATGTACCTAAACCTTGTGAATAGTCTGGCATCGCGACATTCACGGCCACCAATACCCTGTGAATGGATAGTGGACATTAACAGCTAACTGTTCTGAACCTTAAAACCCTAAATTCTAAACATTTATACACACCAATGCCCTGTGCACAAACAGTGGACATTAACAGCCAACCAACAGTAGTCACTGAATGATCGGTGCACCAGTCTTAAACAATTAAGGTCTCTCACCATGCAGTGGTTCATAGAAAGCCCACACTCTCAGCCGCGGTGGGCGAGTGGATGCACTTGCACAAGGTAGCCATATGCACACACCTTGTGATGAACACTGATCGCACACCTTGTGATGAACACTAATCACACACCTTGTGATGAACACTAATCACACACCTTGTGATGAACACTAATCACACACCTTGTGATGCACTCTGATCATGCCCACGGCTCGTGTCTTGCGGATGACCATGGCTGGCAGCTGCAGCTCCTTCAGCGTGGCCACCAGTGACGCCTGCGACATATCCAGCACTGTGTCTATCTCGTTCTGCTTCCACTCCTTCATCTGCGGCAGATTAAACTCCTCGTCCGGCACTGTGTACAGATGTGCATCTGCAACGCAATACACCACAGCCAAAAAGAACAGCCAACAACAACAGTCATGAGAAGTCACACGTGAGTGCAAGTCACCTTCGCCTCAGAATATATCTAGCCAATACTTACACGATACGAAGTAGAGGGAGAACAACGGAAGACAATGCGTCACTACTCAAACAATAGCACTAAAGCATTCCATGGGACACCATCGACGAGAATGTCTGTGAACGGTTTATCACATCATTGAAAGATTATCACACAAGCACGCATTGGTTTCTTCTGCACTTTTGCACCACACGTCAATCATGTGTAGTGGCGCATGACTTGTGGTCGTATGACTTTCGATGTGAAGTGAAGTGAAAATGAAAGTGTGCAATTATACAGAACGAGAGGCGATAAGCATGCAGAGTACATGTAGTACGTATGAATTAACGTACGTATTGCGCATGTTGTCGAGCCCGTCTACGAGCAATTGATAGTTTACACTTGACAATGGCACGCGTACACAATTCACAGGGGGGTTGGGGTATTGAACATACACAGCACTACGCTCGCAATTACCTTTGTCAGTCTTGAACAGATAGTTGCACTCTCCTCCCAGCACATAGAACTTGCTCAGCACTTCAGGCGGCAAATTGCGATCACGGAACATCTGCAGTAGACCATCCAGTCTGATTGGTGCGTGTGTACATTCAAGAGTCAGCATATAGATACCTTGTTTGTTCATGTGAGACTCTATTTGTTGACAGTGCACTTCATGTGCATAAAGGTCTACTCAAGAGGTCTGCATACAAAGACAGCCTGATCAGAGCACACCATACGACGCACAAACAGTATCAGTTGAGCAGTTTGGCAGACATATCCAGGCGGAGTGGTGCAAAGACAGTCGAATATTTCTTACACCGTATTGACCTCGCCAGCGAAAAATCAATTTGTCATGAGAAAACACAGAGCGGCAAGAACAGTACAAGCATATCATTAGAAGACCATAGAAGAAAGGTGTTCACAGCCCATGTCGTTATTAGGAACCCTAAACCACCCCTAAAACCCCTAAAACCCTATGAAACAGTCCCCTATACTGCGTGTGCCCCACACTGTGCGTGTTTTGCTGTACCGCCCAAACGAGTGCATCTCAGTAGTTTGTACATACCGTGCCTCGTACTTCTCGGGCGAATTGGCGTAACCTGCAGCGGTCACTACAGCCACACACAGACCAGCCTCCATCAACTTGCAGATGATCCGCCCCAACCCTCCTTCGCGGAAGTTGTCACCATCTGGGTACAAGGTCTAAAAAAGCACGCAAGAGACGGAAGGCACACCCTTTATGAGACCAACAACTAACCAAATAGTCAGCAACCTGAACCCTGAAACTAAACTCTAAACTCTAAACCCTAAAACCAAAAATACGTCCTAGAGTAATAATCTGTAACCCGTGGAACAAGACAGTGGATATAAGTTTTGTTTACGTATTGTGCATCAGTTAGTTTCAACCTAAAAACCCAATGGCTACCTACCTGATCGCCATCGAATGTGATGAGCTTCAGATTGGGTGCGATGGCGTGTGCCTGGGCGATGTTGAGAATATGCCGAATATCTGCGGTGGAAAATAGCGAGCGACATCAGACTGAGACACCGAACGAGCACAAGTGAAACATAAATGACAACTGAAGCACAAGTGAAGTATAAAGAACAATTGACGCACAAGTGAAGTATAAATAACAACTTTCAAGGAAGCCGATAACATTCAGCGGAAACACGGAACAATGGAGTACTCTACTCTGGACGCGGTTACAGCTTACCATCACAGTTATTGACGAATGCGCACCGAAAACACTCCACACAGTTTTCACTGCCGATATGAAGTAACCGCGGATATGAAGTAATCGCAGTAGTATTCGCTGGTTCATATTGACAGCAACGGCACTGATGAATTATCACGACACTTTCAAGACTTCAAACTACAAATATGTAACGGAATGAACAAGAACATATGTATCTGCCTAAGCGACAACAGGGTGACAACGCACACACTTACTCAATAGAGGCGTCAACTATCATGTCACACAATACTTTGCGCTACGAAGAAGTAAGATAAAAATTATTTTTGTAAATGTTGGATGAGACAGAGGCACCACACAAAATCCCCTTTGAGTACCAGAAATCGATACACAAAACAGGGCAACATACCGTTAGACAACACCCATTGCTGAACGTCGCCGAAGATAAACATCGCCAATATCAATTGGCAAAAGAAAAGTCTAACTACCGTTGAATTTAAAGATAACCTACGGTTGAATTAAAAGTCTACCTACCATTTTGAATTAAAAGTCCACTTACCGTTGAATGAAATGGGGATGTGCTTCCGTAGCGTGACCCTGTAGAGACTGTCATAGTGTCTGAAGGCTTCAACCAACTTAAGCTCCGTGAAGAAGTATCCAATCGTCGGGATTAATTCTTTCAAACGCGCTGAAGGGCACAGTGGCGAAGGTTAATGCATATCGAATCTTAGAAGACTATCGGGTGCCAATGAAATACATAGCCTTGAAATCATACATAGGAATATCATACATACAACAGTTCTGACATGATACATAGGACAGCCCTGACATGATGCATAAGACTGTCCTGAAATAACACTTACGATAGTCCTGACATGATACATAGAACAGTCCTGACATGATACATAGGACAGTACTGACATGATGTATAGGACTGTCCTGACATGATACATAGGACAGTCCTGACATGATGTATAGGACAGTCCTGACATGATACATAGGACAGTCCTGACATGATGCATAGGACAGCCCTGAAATAACACATAAGACAGCCCTGTCATGATACATATGACAGTCCTGACATGATACATAGAACAGTCCTGACATGATACATAAGACAGTCCTGAGATGATGCATAGGACAGCCCTGGCACCATACATAGGGCGGGTGAAGAGAATTTCTCGGAGTGTATTTTGATGCGGCAACAACACATGGCAAGACACAATGACTTTATGTGCAGTGAATGGACACACACGTGGCACCTTGAAAAACCACGTGAAATGCTCTCATCCGCAAGAAACAACTATATAGTATTCAGCAAACGACAGTGAGATTGAGAGAAGAAGACAACTTCATGAAAGCTATCACTATGTATTGTGGCTATTAGAATGACATAGCGAATGACACGACATGATCGATGACAACGGTACCAGACGAAGCGAAGCAGCTGAACTCAACAGTGACTGTTATTTCCAGGGCACTGTGCAATGCACAAACATGGCGCCAGCGCATGCAGTTGAAAAACCGGTAGAGGTTGTAGCTCATCACTCGTGAAATCTACAGCGGGTTTTTTCATACTCTAGCGAGTCACATCAGGTAAGAAATTGCCAAGCATCCATGCATAATGAAAAACAGCAGCAGAAAAGACAAAGTCCGACTGCATGACGTATATTTATATAGAACATACAAGGCGTTTCATCTCCAACAGCCGCAAGAGCACGATGCTCATCCATTAAATCCTCTATACTGCGTATTGTACAATAGGTGGCAAGTGTAATTTGATGATGGTGTATACACGAGTATATGCACACGGCAACACTACGTCCACAAATATAATATGCACAAA